CCTGTGTAAGATCTTATTCCTATGCCGGATCCTGCTCATGATCCTTGTTAGGATCCTGTTCCTTAGAATAAGATACTACAGGATCTTACAGGATCCTTTCTAGGATTTGCACCATGGTTGTCTTGCAATATTGCCATTGCAACAAAACTTGCAAAGAAATTATAGTCCTGTTAAAATGTATGACGTACAATTTCCTCAGCAACTTGCACTCAAGATGACAGACATTCAAAATGAGAAATTACACATGCTCTAACAGTGTAATCAAATACAACATGTCTGTCATTAACATTAACATCAAAATTGACAGGGCAAACCTACCATTATCATAGGGGGTTCTGAGAGTTGAATCTCTTTAAGTGGGATGATCTTATTCTCCGTTACAGACACTATTTGGATGACCCTCTTCCTGGACATGGAAATACACACCTGCAAGGGACAAGCAAAAACAAATCAAACTGCAGCTTACTGATCCCGTAATCATAATTTGTAAATTTTCATCATTCATAATCATACACATTTTCATTTGTTAATAATCAGGATTCATGCTAAATTTTCACTACAAAATCCAGGGATTTTTCAAGTACTTTTTAAGCACAAAAATGTGATTTTCAAGCACTATTTTTGAAGATATTTTTTGATGTTTGCAAGCGTTTCCAGTGGAGATTTTCAAATAAAATATCTATATATTATTAAATAGCCACATTTAAAACCAAAAGCTAACAAGCAATAGTGAGTTTTCCAGGAGTTTTAGCAATTTTACCCATTTTCAAGGAGTCCTCAAGCACCTTTGAAAACGAGTTTTCAATTCCAGGACTTTTCAAGGATATCAAGGAGTAGCCCCTGATAACTCATTTTTTCATTCGTTATAGCAATTAACCAATCATACCTCAACTGTAAATGGGTCGAAATTGTTCGGGTTGTCATTCTTTGCAATAAAGTTGACCTGTTAATAATAAAATACATCAGATATTTGTCAATACATTATTAATTATTTCTAGTTATTTATCAATAATGTATTATTTACATGTAACTTACCCCCTTTAACTTGTCAGACACAATGAACTGTGAAGAAAAAGATTTGAAGTCAGTGTCAGGTCATTGGTAAATAAAAAGCCAACAAAAGATAATCCTGGGGGGAAGGGAAGGGTTTGAAAACAGTGTGTTAGATAACCCCCCACCCCCACTCCCTTAATAATGAAGTCCCCACCCTCACCCCCAGGGAATATAATATACCAGTTTAATATCAAACATTTAGTAAAAGAACTAAGAACTGGTTTTGATTTTAGAAAAAGATTCTTCTAAAAATCATCTTTTACTAATGTAGATACATGTATTAACAAGATACAATAATCCAAAACTTGTTATACAACATTGTTACTGTTCAAGTTTAGCGTCAAAGTTTCTCAATTTCTACGGCTTATTCTTTGTTATAAGACAAGTTGCCAGTGCTCAGACAAGGTGAAAAAAACTTGAATCAGCAACAAGATAAGTTGAGTGTTTTTTAATGTTGCTTTGCCTTTGTTAGGAATAAGACAATATTTTTTGATAACATTATTTATCCAAATGACTGCTATTTTGCATTTGTATTTACCTCAAGCTCAAACATACTAAACAAGAGAATATTTCCTGCAAAAACAAATGCACAATTAACTAAGAATAAATCTGAGTTCTTAGGAGTTTGTTTGGTTTTGAGTCTCATAGGCAGTTTTGATGATGTTCACAGTTTTGATTGACTGTTCAAGCAAAAATGTCAAAATGGCAGTGCAAGTGTTCAAATATTGATTTTTGCATTATTATATAATATTAAAAATAATTACACAAGGTAGTTTTTACACAATGTTCTAAATATTTTGATCTCCAGTCACTCACCATCGCATAGCACCAAAAGTCTGTTGATATTTGGAGCAGTTACAACTTGTTGAATGGGCTTTTTCTGATTTGAAATTCAAATATAAAATAATTTTGAAAAGATAAGGAAAGAAAACGCACGATTTGGCAGATTAATGTTTTGGTGTCGTCATGACGCCACCATTAAACAAATTGTTATTATTAATAATAATGTACAAGTGTAAATAAGTTTCTGCAAAGGAATAGAATCTTACGCAGGATCACATTCTTATGTAAGATTCTAAAAAGTAGGAATGAGATCCGAAATCCAGTAGCCTGAGGATTTGCACTACAGGTGTATCCAGGATTTCATATATGAGATGTTATACATATACCCTAATGGCATACCCCCATCCTGGAATTGTACCTGCCAAGATGAGGTGGTAGCCATTCTAGTATCACAACAATAAAACTCACCATATTGATATGTTTATGTGTTTGAAGACTGCATTGRAATATGGTTCGTCCAAGAGGTGAAGTTGTATCATCAAAGACATAATGGAAAATGTAACTGCAAACGATAAAAAAGTTTCAATCAGCATTGAATAATTACAGGGTAGCAACCATAAAAAAATAGAAGAATGAATGGAATTTTAGACCAGTATCCCCAAAACCATGCATGAGTTAGGAAAACAGTTGTGTAAAAGATAAATTTTAACACCATAAAGAAGTAGGTGAAACAACTTCTGATGTTTTGGAAAAAAATGGTTTCATGACAATAACTTTATCGTAGGCAATGTAGTTAATAACCATATTCCTGGTGGCTTTCATGAAAACATTTTTGAGCGACTGTTTCAAAGTTCGTACTGACATCTAATGAAGGCATCTTGAGTGACCATTGTTTAATTAGCATGTTATAAGATTGAACCTTCATAACTCAAGGACGCAACACTGAAATGCAGGAATATTTCACCATTCTATTATTTACTTTATAAATATAGAATCAGCTCAAAGAGAATCAGCAATTATTGTGTCAGTGTCATAAAACAATAAAGTTCTGCGATAATACATTTTGGTTTAAAAAATTTTTACACGACGTTTCAACATTATCAAACGTCATTATCAAGTGAGATAAAATTCAAAAGTAAGGAAATATATACAAGAATAATATTAATAATACATCATGTAAAAAATGTTTTAAACCAAAATGTATTATCGCAGAACTTTATTAAATGTTTTTTCAAAAACTCTACTTATGTACAGTGTCATATTAGGCAGTTTAATTTATATATAAACTTTATGATCAGGTTGTAGATCATTGCACAAGTATATCACAAAGTTAATGCTTTCAACTAACCAATCAGAAGTGCCGATGTATAGATTCTGAGCAGCACAGTCAAGGCATTCAATCTAAAACAATATAAATGATGATTATGATAACGATGATGACATCATGAGTATAATTAACTTATTATCTATAACAGTTCTGCTTAAACTACAGAGAAAAGAATGCATAACAATCAGAAAAATAATGGGAATATAATATTAGATACTAAAATCAAATCTCTCAACCATGGAGCATCTTCAAGCTCCTAAAAAATCATGCACAAAGTTTACCGTTTTTGGCTTATCTGAYGAYGAAGTCGAAATCTTCGTTAAGACCTGCACAAGGTCGAAAGCCTTGAAGCTCATGTTGAACCTCCAAAGGTTRTMAAAAACCTCTCAAATTTGTYAAATTCTCCAAACGTCATTTTCGACCGCCATCTTGTTTTCTCCACTTTGGGTCTATTGAGTATGCGCGAATTATCAACACAGGGAGCCCGGTCGTTCTGCAAATTCACTGARCTTTCCAACTTTTTTCCTTGTACCACTATAGAACGCTTGTGATCCGTAGCAAGGGTCATCACTGCAGTTTCAAGAGCCCTGGGAAGTTTATGATRATAAATATATTTTGCCCCCAGGGGGCGATGGACAGGACTAAACGAACGTCACAAAACCATTGTAGTGGTTTTGATCGACATGAAAAAACGCTTGGTGGTACGAATATTTAAAATACTTAGAAYTTKTCAMGAAAAACAACCAAAAAACATTTTTTACTGCTAATACGTAACACTTGCGGAAAAACAGAGCAGTCTGTGTCGCAGACTAGGTTTCGTTTCGTTTGTTTTGTTTTGTTTTCATCCGTTTCTCCGTAACGTTACTTGTGGAAAAACAGAACCCGTTTTCCTCCTCTACGTTAAAACCGAACGGAACACAGGCTAGCGTTACCATAACGTATTCTATAATATTGAGTCGTCTGTACAAGTCTGTAACAACTGAGGCGTTTACTCCAACAGATACTCATAATATAACCCAGGCGTATCTGCACTGGGTTACCGGGTATTCACTATTTTTTAATCCCATGAGATTTCAAAGATAAAAGACCGGCGTCCATGTTGATTGAATGAACAATAGATACTAATGAGAAATCCTTTGTTGAAGTTCATCCGAGATTGCCGCTGTGATGTAACTTCAAAACGAACAATATAGCGTTTTGGGCTGGCGAGGGGAGAGGTGGACGTGGCAAAGATGAAATTTGGCACATAACCTTAGGATTCAGTTCAAAAAGTACCTTCGGCTGGTAGTCTCAATATTCTAATGCACGTATATGTATATGCATGGTGGAAAAGGTGGTGGGAACTAGCAGTAAACCACTAGTGAAAGCTGCGTCGGTGTTTCTAAAGAAACAATTATCTAAACAGATAAATTTAACACCTTAACTAAAAGTAAGTGAAAAGGTGGAAAGTCTAGTTTCTAACCATGACAGCGTTTATTAATCAAATTTAAAGTGTTATTCGCAAGGTCTCAATGGGGGTAGCCGTGAATAGTAAAAATTAGAAAAACATTCAGTGAAACGGTTGAAAAATTAGACGTGAGGCGTGAAAAAGCCAAATTTTTAGTCGTGAGTCGTGATGCATTGACACACTCATTGACACCCTCCTACCGGCCCGCAAAGCAAATTCAAGTAATTTGTAATACGGAGAGAGAGCAAAATTCTCATTATGGATTTAGAGAAACATTACTAAGTGATCCTGAGCAAGGCCTCTGCCCATCGCAGTTTATTTCCGTAATACTTAACTATGACGTCATAGTACGGTATGATTTTGTACTCCTCGGTCGCTGATTGGCTAACCATAGTGCATACCAATGACATGACAATGTGCGCCTTAACGGGATCGTTTGGCGAAAATAAGTTTGGGATTTGCGATTACAAAAAGAATAAATAAATAAATAATATTTAAAAAACAAATAAGAATTTGCACACTTCATGTTCTGTTAAATACGGTTAGCATTACTCAGAAGCCGCAAAATGGGTCGACAGGAAATCAGACGTTGGGTAACCACCGACACAAAAATGTAATCGAAACGTTAATTGAAACGAAAATATAATTCTGTGAAAAAAATGAAAGTTATCGAATTAAAAATTCTACTTTATTGTATGGAATGAACTGAAATGTTCGTGTTTAGTTTTCTGTAGCTTCGAGGCTAGAAACTCAACCGAATATAAAGACTTTAGATGCTTTGAAAACTTATTTTGACTAAAGAAATTAGTTTTATTCGGATTACTTCGGAATTTTGCATAAATTTAAGAGAGTGAAAAAAAGGCGGGATTATTTCCTTATATGGTAAGCTTACACGCAATGTTGCATTAAATTACACATCGGTCGAATCGATGGTGTTTGCTTTACGAGAGATACGCGTAGCTCATTTGAACATTTCGCTATTATAATACCTCAAACTACCGCCAATTCTCTGGAAAAGTTATAAATATGTCTTATGAAAGAGAGAAAGTATCTGTTCCCCGTCTTGCTCGCCTTGAGAAGGGACAAAAAGGCTACGGTTTCAACTTACATGGCGACAAGGGGAAAACGGTCCAGACCATCAGCGCTGTAGATAAAGACAGTGCAGCCGAACTTGGCGGCTTAAGAGTTGGAGATATAGTTATTGAAGTCAATGGGCAAAATGTAGAAACCCTAACCCACATGGAAGTTGTGAATTTAATCAAGCAAAAATCGGACGAGACAACCTTGCTCGTTTGTGACAAAGACACGCTGGCTTACTTGAAGGAGCAAGAGCGACCTTGTACCGCTGATATGGCGAATTTAACAACAGTAATACCACCTGAAAAACCTGAAGAGGTTGCCAATGGAAGTGCTACGATTGAGGAAGTGCAGGAAAAGAGCGTAGAAAGCGAGCCGACAGTGGTTGAAGATACCACACCGACGCCCCCCGATCCGGTAACCAAGGTAGAAGATCACGAACCAGCACCAGCAAGCGATAACACTACACCTGAGGAAGTTCAAGAACTAAATAATGTCCTAGATGAACAAGAAAAACCAGCAGAACAGCCAGAACAGCCAGAGCCTCCAGCCGTACAACAAGTTGAAGAACCACCAAAGCCAWCAGAACCCGTGGAACCCCCAAAACCCGAAAAAACAGAAGATAAAAGCGATGGACTGAGCTTTGATATGGAAGCAGCGAGRAGAAAGGCATCCGGYAGTAGGAGACGCCAGGTTAAAACTGATGGATCCAGTTGGAGCAACAAAGTGAATTCTATCAATGCATTGTGAACTTGTTTAAACGCTGTCTCTAATTATTACTGTAGGCTGTGGAAAGCGAACGCTTTTTTCTATGAAACTTATCAATGTACTTATTCTGGAGCAAGCACCTAGAACTTTTTTGTGATCAAGTAAGTGGATGTTCAAAACAAATTTACACTCGCTATTTTTTGAATAAAAACAATATATACGAAGACATGGTATTTTGAGAAATAGTTTAGTTTCTAACTTAAAATGAAAACATGAATTTGCTCTTGATTTAAGCGACAAGAATAATTTTATTAGCTTTATGAATTGTTCCCGTTTGTCGTAATTGCTTTGATGGCATTATTGTTAATGCCCAGTGCTTAACATGTTTTCGTTTCTATTATAGTTTATGTAACACTTCCCGGATAGCATCGATCTTTAGTTTCAGATTTTTCTAGAAATTTGCCATAATAACTATGTATGCTATAATTGTAATATTAGGGTTGTTCATTTTTGCAGCAGGTTCGAATATTTTCATCCAAAAGTAATAATAAATTTTACGTCTATAATATCAAAATCATTGTAGTATTATAACAAACTTCGTAGTTGGAATAAAATTACCATTTGTTCTSTAGTCTTGGATATTTATTGTTGAAAATATGTATCATAGATGCAGAATTTTTGCCTTACACGGTTGATCAAACTCCAAACATTTCCTAAGCTACTAGACTTTGACTTTTAAAAATCTTTGTTTATAATTAACTAAAGTCGCTTTTCCATATTTCTCTTTGATAGGAAATTCTTGTTGTTATTCTTGTTGTAAAGATCAAGCTCAAATTAATTCAAAAGAACTATTTACACAAATCTATTTCCCCAGGGATGCAACGCTTGAAATTAAGAAGAATTCAATCAAAGAGATTTATGCTGTTTTACATAATTAATTCCTAGTGTCAAAAATCTGTTTTGTTTTGAACTTTTTCTTGGTCTTATCTGATCAATTATTCAGATCTTMAGCGACATTCTTCAGCATTTAGCTGGCTTTTTCGAGCGCTGATCTTGTTTGGCACTGAAGTGGCTTCTTGAAAATCGACGTAACTTAATTGCAAACCTTCGYTTTTATTGGTGTTCTTTGTGCAAATATAAATTTAAAAATATTTTCAATTATTTGTTCAAAATAGATCKTAAGGAGCCTTGTTCATTCTTTTCGCAAGCTGCAATAATATTCTTTCGAATCCTGACCTATTTAACGATGTCGCTCGCGTAGTCACGCGAGAGAGACGACTCCAAATATATTGCCCTTGYCCTAATAAAAAATAATTCTAGCCTAAATTAATTTTTACTATCAGATATATCACAATTATCGACTCTATTAGTCCAAATTTTTCCTATTCTTTTTACTTTGCGAATATTTTAAGAGTCAAAATTTCGCGGTTGAGTGCCTTGAAGTGTTGGACTGCCAACGAAAAACGTACAATTGTTCAAGAATTTTCTTTTGTACGTGGGCGAAACAAGTTGAAATTCTTTTGAAATGACTTGTCTTTGCAGATGAATATAGAATATGAGCATTTTATAGCGCTCAGACATGCTGGAGATAAATTAAATATTTAAGAATACCATGCTGTAATTATTCATAAACATAAAGTTCAATATAGCTAGTGGTGAACTTAGGACACTTCACTGACAGTAAACTTCACAAATTTAAATATTCTAGTATCTTCCTTTGCTATTTCTTATTGACATTGAAATAGCTTTGTTTGCAAGTCTAATTGAGTTGGMTGGTCATGCTAGTTTTGCTTAAGCCTGGTTTGCAATAGAAAACTAAATTCAGAAGCAAGCACAAGCCAATAGCACATATTTAGGTGTGAAAACTGCCTAACACCRTAATATATAGCAAAACCAAACATAACATAACACTTTTTGGTTCTTTGTATTGTGCTTGCTTTTGTGCTTGTCCTTGCTTCACAATTAAAAAACATTCATGAAATATAACAAGTAGACTTTTTCGTTTGGTTAAAAGACTTCAAAACGCCAACATGTTTGATGGTTCATTGAACATGACTAAACAACATTATTGCAGATACGATGAACAAGGTGACCAAATATTAAAAATATCTGTTGCCGGCCAACATATTTAATGGTATCTTGTGATAAAATATTTTCCATTTGCCCCCAGCTATTAAGACATGTCATCTATATATAGCTWASTCTAAAAAGTTTGATCACAAGTACAAATGCTGAAAATTTTAGTTATTAAATAGTYCTAAATTGTACTGAATTATACAAATTTCTTTGTTTTCTTGTCTGATGTACATTATATTGAGCTATTTAGCACTATTTGATTCATACTTTTTCCCACTTTTTTATAGGAATTGAAAAGTTCTAGTAAATACGAAACTAGTTTTCCTCAAACAAATCTTGTGTTTTCTGTGCGTCGAAGGAGGGATAACAGTTATTTGACATCATGTAAAATGAAGTTTAGAAACTCCTTTAAAATCCAAATCCAACAAATTTAAAAAAAAAACACACTTTTTTTATTGTTTGCTTCACTATTTTTGATCTAAGAGTTTCTTCTTTATCTATTTTTCTATTTTCCATCCTACTTTAAAATTTTTTCAATTTTCTTTTTCTCTTTCTCTTTATTTCTAATTTTGTATTTTCAATATATTTCTCCCATTTATTCCTTTGCTTTTTCCCACTAATTGACTTTTCTTCCTTTTTTCTTTCCTTTCCTGTATGGCCTTTCATTTTTTCCCTTTTTCAATATACTAGTTGCAATTTAAGATTAATTGTGTGAGCTACAATTGTAGCTTGATTGGGCCAACATCCAAGTCTTGGGTCCATATTATAATGCCAAGCTGTCATGGCAACAGCTTTTTGTCAACCAGGGTGACGACACCCTATCCTAAACCTCTACATAGCCATATTGGGAGCAAGTGCCAAGGGCTGATCCACCTGAAATTTTCAGGGGAGGACTAAATCGTTTTAGGGGGGGCTGATTGCTATTATTGGTATGGCTAACTTTTTTGGCTCAGGGTGGGGGGGAACTACCTTTGCCACTCCCTGCAGCTGCCCTTCAGTGCATTGTTGCCAACATTAGTATATTTTGGTATGATTCCAATCCAAGTTGCTGTGATCCCGATCCCAAAGTCAAAATTATGATCCTTGATCCCAAATTAAGGCTGATCCCTGATCCCATATAGCACATCACGACCCTGATTTATGTTTTGCTTGTTCACTGTGTTTAATAATAGAGTACTGGAAAAGTAGGCACACTAAATCCATGAAACAAATGTTGATTAGGGACGGCCTATTTAACTTTTGATGGGGGGGATGGGGGGGGAAGATTTTGAAAACTAAAATCCTGCAAGCCATCTTCACCAAAAATGAAAATCCTGCACAACACTCGGGACCTGAAAAAAAATCTTGCACCACCCTAAGCCCCCAAAAAATGTTACATACAAGAAAAAAAAAATTCTACACCCCACCAAGAGAAAAAATATATATCCTACACAAAAGCCACGAAGAGAAAAAAAAATCTTGCTCACAAGAAATCATCCACCCCCCCCCCCCCCTCAAAAGTTAAATGGACCGTCCCTTATTACTACTTATAAGAGTTGATTAGATAACCATAAGCAAAGGAATGACCGTAGTTTAGCACCTATCTACGTTTGACAGGTTAAGTGCATTCACCCGCCAGCGTTTTAAGAGCGCAAACGCCACTAAAAGTGTGAAAAATTATACTCACCAAATAGAGTGAAGTAAAAAACCCGTGAAAACAGTTTTACACTAGAAACCCTTTGCATGCTATAATTTTATTGTTTTCTTTTGTGTCTTGACTTTCGCACCTTAATAGTTAAATTTTGTCTCAAGGGTTTGATGACCTCACTCGAGTGCTAAATAGCGCAATTTAGTGTTTATTAAGGTACGCTAAAACAATTAGCTGGCTGCATTCGGTTAATCAGAAATAAGTATTCGCTCACTCCCTTGCAACACAAGTTTATTTTGATGCGAGAAAATTTGGCCAGTAGTAAAACGCGCATCATCKCTTTGAAACTTGTTTTGCATCAATGTTGCGATATAATTTGGACGATTTTGCTGCTCGTATTTCTGTACCTTAAATTACACAATAGAAGAGTTCCTTTAAAGGAAAGTCACAAAATTCAGTAAAATTTAACACTACTTAATATTTCTAAAGTTTTTCATTGTTATAATCTTTGCAGTTCACTCTATGTCAACGATAGTGTGACCTGCCACCGTGCACGGTACAAAATCTAAGTAATGCTAATTTGTACCAATTCAATTTAATTTGCGTATCGCATGCACGATTTACTAAATAGTACTATTTAGTTTGTACAGTTACACGGTTTTAAGTGCGATCACTGTACCACATCGTAGTAATTTAGCTATTGTGAGAGGCGCTATATTTTTAGATTGACGACTGACAGATTTTTGAAGACCATCCATATGTCATCACACAAGGCAATTCACGTGCCACGCGAGACAACGATGCATCACGCAAGACGTATCAATGATCAGTAAGGCCATTAACGTGTCACTTATGACAATTCACGTATCACGCGACTTCAACGCGCAAGATATAATATTAAAGCTTGTTATAGAGGAACGTTCTAAGTTCAGTATGAAGGACATTAGCCAGTCATACAAGACAATACACATACTACGCAAGACTTCGACGCACCACTCAAGGATCAGCTAGTACGGCCATTTACGCGTCACAGCTCGCACGCCGCGCAAGAAAGTTCACGTGCCACGCTTGACAATCGACGCATCGKCATTATCGCGTTTTTTATCGCGTCTCACAAGGCAATTCACGAGTGACGCAAGTAAAACAGAACGTGTTGAAGCAGGACCAACGGGTTGTTCGATTTACTCTGTCACTTTTGCAGTTTCAGCTCATTTCTCATTTACTTCGACTTCGGCGCTTTTTAAAATACTAGACTGGCACTACTATTTAGCTTGTATTTGATGTGTTTGTTATCCAAACAGACGCAAAGCTTTTCATTGAGTTGTCTAGGATTTCACCATTGAACTTGTGTCAAAGCCAACGTGGGTTATCACTTTTAGTCTTTTCAGTTTTCCGCCAYGACAACTCTCAGACATACTTGTCTGACATTTGTACAGGAAGTTATCAATGACAGCTGTCAATCTTGACAGGCAAAATGACACAAAACGCTTGAGACAGTTTCGTTTTTCATCTACTCCCAAAAAACCTTGAGCAACTGAGATCTAAGTGGTCTCTAGCAAAGTTTCAGTAATTAGTTTAAGTTTGGAGTGAGTAGTTAACTACAGCTGTAGTTTTTGCAAAGCTACGTGCTGAAATAGCTATGATATTGATTGCTGTTACCAAAGGAATTTGTCTATATAGAAAAATAATAATAAAATTATCATAATTGAAAAAAGCAATGAAAAAAATATAATTTATGATGTGATAAAATATTTCCCAGAAAAAGTTTCCCCAAAAAAGAAATTTAAGCTGAAAATCCCCAACACTATTGTGATGGTCAACTCTCAGCTTGGATAATGTTGCAGCAGAAGCAATGTTTGGAAAATTTTGCATCGACTTCGGCGCTTGAAAAAYTCGACGTTTTGAAAATGAACTTTGTTTTCTTA